TAGAGAGAATACGGTAAGCTAATTTTTCTAATAAATTTATGAAAGAACGCTTAACTTATTTTAAAGTTTAATTTTAAATGCTTCTAACGGAGGATTAACTTTGTTAAGACAAGCTCAGCACAGCACATAAATTGAGCAACAGCTCCGCACAGCAACAGACGTTGAATGGCTTTGAAAATCCCAAAAGTATAGTCAAGGATTTCCTTTAAAGTTTCCGTGTTTCAAAGTGAGGAATGTATTGCCGTAATGTTAAACTATTAATTACCATCTTGATTTTCAAAAAGTAAAGGGTTTTAGATTAGTGTACTCAGCGGGTTTCTTTACTTGCAATCCTCCAGATGTACTTTGTTCCCTCTTTAAATCTCGTAAACACCCCCTTTCTGGCGACCTGTCATTCTTCGATTTTCCCCTCACAAAAACTCGTGTCACGAGGGGAAATGCAAGAATTTTGTGCGCCAAAAAGACTGTGTTTACAAGGTATTCGAAGAGCACAAAGTGCACCTCTGTATGACTGAAGATTCTCTCCTCTCTCAGCTTTCCCAATCTTTCCGCCCCTCCAAAAAGGTCTTTTCTTCCTTCCGTAGTTTCTAGTATTGAGCCATTTCTCTCCCTTTTTCCCCCTCTTCCGCATTTCTCTTTTCCACATCTCATTTCCCCGTCGTCTTTTCGACTCTCAGCGCATTTGAAAGGGCTTGTTTTGTGCGAGGCGAAATCATTCTTCCCAACACACAACCAAACATTGCCCTTTTCCCATAAAATTCTTAAATATTCTGAAAAGATTTGAATTCTTAAATGTTAATCAAACATTTTCTGCCTAAATATACAATTTATTAACTTTACAGCTCGTTTTTCTTGTAAAGAAACAGCACATTTCAGGGTTGTCATGAAGCAATTTCTTTCTGAAGCCTTGATTTCTTAGGATCCTAGGAAAAAAATGGTGGAAGACATTCTCCTTCTGCTCTAGTTAAGTAAAAGAGCTCCAATCATCGCTTTCACAATGTTGAAAATCAGCTTTTCGAAACAGAATGCAAATGATGACGGCTTTTTAAGTTATTAGCTTATCTCATTGTAAAACATCATAAAAAACCTAAACTTAAAATTTTAATCCTTTCTATCTTTATTTAAAATTCAATGTTTCAAAGCAATTAATGAGTTGGGTAAATTCGAATATTTAATGGCTGAGTTAGGGGACTTCTATCATTACTTTCTTTGTTTTCTTTTTTGTATAACATTAAAAGCCCAAGTAAATAAGCAAAGATTTTAGAATCATCATAACATTTCAAGCTCATTCCAAGCTCTTACAAATGAGTTTTAAAATTCGAATCCTTTTTACCTTCAAAATTAGTAATTACTTGAGTAAATTCTTCAATGTAACGCTGTAATTTCTGCTAACGCTAACGCTGTAATTTCTGAATCTTAAGAACCTTGGACTTTTTTTTTTACTTATTACTTCATTTTCTTAATTTAAAGTTGAAAACTTAAGCGCAAGCAAGTTGGCGAAACATTTTTGAACCATAAGGCTTGTTTCAAAGCAGTGGCTTCTTGGGTTCCTTTCAAGTGGCTCCTTTCAAAGCAAATATTAGTTGAATTTCGTTAGTAACCAAAAAAAAAGTGCTTGATCTGAGTCATAGAACTTTTTTCTTTCTCTATTTCGATTTTGAAATCACTAAAAAAAGTCGAAATCATCATTTGTAATCGTTTTTCAATTTCAAGTTTCAAAGATGGCAAGGGTGACTGCTCATTTTCTATTTCAATTGTAAACTCTCTTTTGGTGTTTACTGGGTTATTTTTTGAGTTTGTTTTTGTTTGGGAAAAGATAGTTTTCAGACTGGAAATAAACAAGTTTACTTTACAGTATTCTTTTCGAAGAAAAAATTTAATTTCATATCTTAATTTGATCAGCAACTATCAAAAGAACTGTAGTAGTTGATGGAATTTCGAATTTGAATTTGAAAACACGAGCTCACTCTACCTCAAATGAAACGATCATTTAAAAGTACTCTTTTCACACTACAGTGATAAGACAGAGAGAGAGAGACTATTCTTTTTAGATTAAAGAATTCAGTTTCAAAGTTAACAAGGTTGTAAAGATTAGCTAGTATTTGTGTCGATCAAATGAAATCTTTTAAATACTCCTACACAAATTGATTCCTATAAAGAGTGTTTATTTCTACAAAAATTCAATTATCTTTCTTTGTTTTTGTTTTTTTTTTATCTCAGATACCCTACAATTAAATGAAGTTTTTGATTTTATTGACGAAAAAAAAAATGATGTTTCAAAATTATGTGAATTTTAATTATTTTCATCCATTCTATTCTGGTTGTTCATTCCATTTTATTCGACTCGAAATTTTCATGTTTAACCAAAATTGTCTACTCATTTAGCCAAAACAAAACGGGAAATGCAGAGCTTGTGAGTTTTTGTAAGACAAAAGATTTCCTTTATGCAACTTTTCGTTGACATAAAGAGTTCGCTAATAAAGAATATGGATCATCTGGATCACTGTTTAAAATACTCTGAAATAAATACTTTAAAGTTTAGGGATTAGAGAATATATCGTAAATACTGTAGTACCCGACCCCCCTCGTACAGTCGCGTAGTCGCAAAAGTTTTTTAGTATTTCATTTTTTCCAAAGCACCCGTACTTTCAAACAATGGTAACTCCAAAGAAAACGTGTGCCTTCGAAAATCGCAATTTCCATTAAAAATAAATTCTAATTTTAAATTCAGATCCCATATCTTTTCCTATATTCTGTGCCCAAAAGTTGGCCTTTTTTAGTTAAAAAAAAACGAAAAACGAAAACCGAAATTAAGAAAAACTTCTCAAATTTCTTCGGGAAAAAGAAAAATTCTTTGAAATTTCAAAATTTTGGGTGATTCATAGGAGGGAAAAAAAAGCGAAAACGAAGCAGTAGTGGAGAATTTTCCGCTTTTTTTTTCTCTTTCCTTTTTGTTTACCCTTTTTCCCGACTGGGGGAGAAATAGCTATGACAACACAAAAAAAAACAAATTTTCTTCAGCAATAGCATTTTTTGGCAAAATTTTGTTGAATTCCAAGAATTACACTTGAAATTTTGTGTTGCATTGAAATTATTCTTGCCTTTTTTTTATCGTTGCAACAGGTTTTATTCGTTTTTCCACCAACTAAACCTTCAAACCAAGCTCTTTTCTAAATGATGCGCTTTGGAAAAAAAAGCTACCGTAATCCATGTGCATCTTTTCAATTTAGCGAAAAACTACCGTACTCTGTCTGGGTTTTTCTAAATTTCAACCATCTGATGAGCCTAGGTTCACTCGTTTATTGTAAAAAAATACAAAAATAATTTAAAAAAAAAAAAAAAAATTTAATATTAAAATTTTTTTAAATTAAAAAAAAAAAAAAAAAAAAAATAAATTTAAAAAAAAAAATATTAAAAAAAAAAAAAAAAAAAAAAAAAAAAAAAAAAAAATATTTTTTTTTTTTTTTTTTTTTTTTTTTTTTTTTTTTTTTTTTTTTAATTTTTTTTTTTTTTTTTTTTTTTTTTAAAAAAAAAAAAAAAAAAAAAAAAAAAAAAAAAAAAAAAAAAAAAAAAAAATAAAAAAAAAAAAAAAAAATTTAAAAAAAAAAAAAAAAAAAAAAAAAAAAAAAAAAAAAAAAAAAAAAAAAAAAAAAAAAAAAAAAAAAAAAAAAAAAAAAAAAATAAAAAAAAAAAAAAAAAAAAAAAAAAAAAAAAAAAAAAAAAAAAAAAAAAAATAAAAATATATTATAAATTAAAATTTTTTTTTAATAAAATTTTAAAATTAATTTAAAAAAAAAAAAAAAAAAAAAAAAAAAAAAAAAAAAAAAAAAAAAAAAAAAAAAAAATTTTAAAAAAAAAAAAAAAAAATAATTTTTATTATATTAAATTTAATTTTAATATATAAAAAATAAAATTAATTTAAAAAAAAAAAAAAAAAAAAAAAAAAAAAAAAAAAAAAAAAAAAAAAAAAAAAAAAAAAAAAAAAAAAAAAAAAAAATAAAATAAATAAATTTTTTTTTTTTTTTTTTTTTTTTTTTTTTTTTTTTTTTTTTTTTTTTTATTTTTATTTATTAAAATTTTATTTAAAAAAAATTTTTTAAAAATATCAACTGCAAAAAGCCAAGTTTCAATTTTAGGCTGCTTTATTGGGGGTTGAGGGTTTTAATCGCAGTGGCTTTGGCTAACATTTCTGGCTAACATTAACAAGTCTAACATTTCTGTTCTCAAAAAGGTCAATTTTGACGATTTTCAGAACAAAACGTTTTCTAATGGGTAGGGACAGTCACCCCCTTTTCCACAACGGTCATTTTAGACTGTAAACCGTCGATTTTTCGACAAAACAAATATTAAATTTGAAAAAGAAAATCGAAAACAGACTTTGTCTGCGGCCTTACCATGGTGAAAGAGCTAAAAATGCCCTTTAAAATGCGGCCCTTTAAAATTGGACTTTTTAAAACATTAGTTTTTTAACCAACTCAATATTTTTGCATTCTCTTTTTACATAAATCATCTAGAAACATTTGTCTAAATTCTGGCAATGATGGTTTAGAAATGTTGTCAACTTCTTTTTGATCAAGATCGATTTGTAGACCAAGTTGTAGAGCTCATTTGAATTGACGAAAGTCCAGTGTGAACTCAAAAATGAGGTCCGAACGTTATTTTGGCCCAAACGAGAAATGGATTTAAAATTTGGTGGTATATAAAGAAGTCATTTTCGCCCACTGCTTCAGCTTTAAATTTTCAAATCTTTTGACTTTCCCCCAAATTTTCATTTCTTAACCATTTTCGTAGCGCTTATTGTGTTTTCTTAACATTTTCGTACCGCACTCAAAAATTCATAAATAACAAACGTTTTTCTATCGGCTAGACTTTGATTTTCACCAAAGTCACGAAAATTTGGATAATTTTTTGAGAAACAACCTGTTTTTATCGATTCTTTTAAAATTTCTTTTCATTTTTGTACAAAAAGAGCTTTCCTTTTTAGAAACGCTTCCGAAACGATGGCTCAACTTTTGGCCGATGTCGAACTCGTCAAAAACGACGGCTCCAAGCACAACGCCAGCGAGTTGGAGGTGAGATTTTGGGGTGGATAACTTGTAATAGCGTTAATCTAAAGCCTAGACTTGCTAACGGTTAAGTTTTGTCAAATAGAAAGCACAAATGAACTGAAAATCTTAGCATTTATGGTTGCTTTTCGTATTTTTACCGTGATCTTTCTATTCTGCGCCAACTTTGCCCGGTAAGCAAGTCTAAAAGCTTTTTTAATCTGCGTTGTAAAGAATACCTTGGTCTAACTAGGCCTATTGAATGTTTTTTAACGGAAATTATAGTTTTGTCATAAAACAAGCTTACAAACGCCTTAAAAAGTCAATAAATATCGTTTGCTACTGTCGACCGAGATTGTTTTAGCACAAATTCAACAGATGTTAGTGTAGATTTCTTTGCCTGGAAACAATTTGGAGCACTCTTGTACGTAGCATAGCTATCAGTAGCCATTGAATCAAGTATTTCTATAATAGTGTTTCTGTATTTGCATTTTTAGGGCAAAGTCGTTGGCCTCTACTTCTCGGCTCACTGGTGCCCACCGTGCCGTCAATTCACGCCAGTTTTGAAGGTATATTTGTTGAGTTTGTAGATTTTTGTTAAAAAACAATGAAAGCATTCAAAAAAACTGAAAAATTTTGGATTTCTTTAGGATTTCTACAACGATTTGGCCGAGGAGGGCGACTTTGAGATCGTTTTTGTTTCGTTCGACCGATCGGCCGAGGATTTGAAGAAGTGAGTTGGTTGTTTTAAGAATGAAAAGATTGCTCAAGAGTTACTCATACTTTGGCTCGTGAGCAATCTAAAATTATATTATCAGGGTTTAATGGTATTTTTAACATCTAAAGGTTATAATTGTTTTAATCACTTTATTTTAGATACCTTGACGAGGCGCATGGCGATTGGTTCCACATCGCTTACGGAAACCCAAAAATTCAGTAAGTATTTGTGATTTTGAATTAATTAATGTTCAAAATTGAAAAATAGATCAACTAAACGTCATGAGTTAGCTCATTGTCGGTAATGTCAGATTCAGAAGTCAAGGCTTAAACACTAAAATCTAAAAGTTTGACATTTAGTTAATGGTTTATTAGCTGAATCGAATGAAAATGTCACTTTTTAGGGAACTCGCTACGAAGCTCCAAGTGAGCGGCATTCCGGCATTCATCATCGTCAAGCCAAACGGTGACGTCATCACCAAGGAGGGACGTTCCGAGGTTTCGGTAAGACTTTTTGTATAGAGATTGATCAAGTTCAACTTTTACTCAAGCGCGTTTCAAAGTCGCTGGCTTTGGGATATCAATAAGTACTGGACTTGCTTATTTATATTTTTAGTTTTTTATAGATAACAGTGGTCAAAAGATATAATATCATGGAGTGTTCAATTCATCAAAGCTTTATTTTAGATTAACTTATTTAAAGATCCTATGAGTTGTAAATTGCCTATGTTTCTTTAGATAATAGATAAGCAAGCCTGGTATGAATACTTAAAGTTAAATCAAATGAAATACAATAGTGCAAACCCCTAAATATATCCATATTTTTTTCAGAGCAAGGCCCCCAAGCAAGCGCTCTCCGGCTGGAAGAAAAGTTTGTGATCATCAGGACGGAATAAATAAAAAAGAAATCTTCAACAAATCCATTTCTTTTCTCGATTATCACCACACGGGCGTTTCAAAGTTACTTTTCACCAAATTACTTTTCTTGTTGTAAGTTTTGTTCTATTTTTTCTCATTCTACGTGCACGCCTTAAATAAATGGTTTATACGCGAAGAAAATAGTGATGTAAATTGCAGTTTTTCAATGCCAGTGCTTTTAGAATGAGGGAAATTGGTGTATTACCTAATTTGGAATGATTTTGGGTAGATATCTAAATTGATTATCTCATCTCTAGATATCTAGTTTGTTCCATTTTATAGTCTTCGCGTTTCTCGGCTTTATCTCATTTAGGGTGAACTCCGATGTTTAGTAGTTTAGCACAAAGAGCGAGCAGCGCGGTGATAAAAAGGACGGACTTATGGTTGTTTGACCTCATCGGATCGCCGCTCTGGTTTGACGTTTCTAAGATGTAGATTATATTCTCTACTTGCCATCTAATCCAAGCTGGTTTGAACTGGATTTCTAAAAGCTACTAGCCGTTATTAACTGGAAATCTTGAAAAACGGGCGTCAAAATCTTCAATTTTCCGTTTATAAATACCAAGAACTTGTAGCATCCAGTTTTAAAAACTATGCGTCGAAGAGAATTCTTTGAATGGATTAACATTTTTGTAGATACAGCATGAGTAACTTGAATTATGGATTGCGTCATTCTGCATCCCCTTTTCAAATTACCAAATTGTTTGGCCCTGCAAAAGAGACTTGAGCCTTAAATCAATTTCCAAGATAATTCAGCATACAATTTCTTTTATGCCTAAAAATTGTATTTATCAAAATTTGCATAACAATCAAGAGTCTAACTCGTACAAGTACCGATTGTCCCTGGCTTAAATTTTGCAGCAGCACTTCGTCACCTTTGTATTCTCGATCTTCAACTCCCGTTCGAGTGATCATAGATATTTGGAGGGGTCGCTCGGCAGAGAGTAGCAAAGCGCCAGAAAAAAGAAACACAAAGAAAAAAGTGGGAAAAGGGCATGGGCACAGCCCGCCTTTCCCCAATTTTTTTTCATTTCTCTCTGCTGCGTTTCCATTGATATTTCCAGAATCTTTTCCCATTTCTCTATGTAAGCGCAACACACTTTTCCCTCGGGTTCGCGTTGTGCTCTCACAAAATTTTGTGCGATCATCTCCGCAAAAAGTTCCCCACTGAAACATTTTCAAAATTTTGATAAGTTTCACCTTTAATCTATTGATTGGGAGAGGTTTGCTTTAATTCGGCTTGCTTATTGATGAATTTTAGTGCAATTTAGAAAGCGACTTTGACGGTAGAATTTGTATACAAAGCAAATTTTAGGGGTTTTTTGGTCCCATTTAGAAAATTGGCTCCAGTTAGCCTGCTTTTTGTTAAAACATACATACCTATCTTTTTGTTCATTTAACCTGTTGACCTATATTTCATTCGTTTTTTTTACGCAAATTTTAATTTTCCATTTTTCAGGTAAAACACAATGGCGCCTTTGGCCCGTGGAGGCTACGTGTTGTTGCTCAGCAATAAGGTAATTCTTTTGAGCTTTTAAAAATGCAAAATACTTTAATAACGTTTGAGTTTTGAGTTTTTGCCCCTAAACTCCAAAATCTTGTAAATGTATGTAAATGAGTGCATAATTAGCATAACTAGGGTTTAAAACCTAAAACATGAATTTTTTAAACACGGGATAATATTAATTCTTAATCAAATTTCAATGCATTAAAATCTGAGCTACAGAAATTTACAAGTTCAGTCATTTTCGATGGGCTAGATGTGCGAGTAGAGTACGTACTTATAACGTGATACATGCCGTGTAGCTCAAAAGAACAAGCTTTCAAAGCGCTCACTGATCTCCCGATCATCCAACAGTGAACAGTGATCTATCGGGGGTTATTTCCGGGCAGGCAAAAGCGCTCAATAAACCCTTTTGACATGCAGCAGTCAGATGTTTTCCCCTTCTCCAGACACACGAGGCGAGCAAACCATTGAACGGATTCGATTCGGGGGGGGGGATTTTTAGAGGAAAAGGGAGAGGGGAAGCGATAAAGAGGGAGAGAAACGGCACGAGGTGTGCCCTGGACAAAGTGTTCAATGGTTTTGGAGAAGGGGGAAAGAGATAGATGGCTCTAGTATAGGGTCAATCTTCGAAATGGGTTGGTTTGAGGGGGAGTTTGAAGAAAAAAAGATAATAATAAAAGGATTTTAAGTTGTAGTTTAGCTTAAACTTTAGCAATTTTGAGCTGCAGTTCATTTAGCTTTTTGGATTTACTTAAAATTTAGCAAAACTAATTTTACAATTTGTATGAAGCTTTAAGAATACCATGTTTCTTGTTAGTTTTCAATTTTCAGCTCCGTCAATCGAGCCTCCGAGCACTCTCCCTATCCGCGCGACGAAATGCAAAGATCTACGAGAGTGCCGAAGACGCGGTGAAGGACATTCCCGATGGGGCGAAACTTCTTGTTGGAGGTGGGCTTTAAAAAACTTGTAGTAGGTAAAAATGAGTAAAGTTTAAGCTAAAGTTCTGCTTTAACTTTTTCATGGGTCACAATTTTTGTTTCGAGCCTTAAGATTTAAAAAATTTGCAGAAAAATAAAAATAAAAAAATAAAAAATACTTAAAATTAAAACTTAAAATAAAAAAAATTTGATTTTTAACTTTGTGCAATTAATCTTTTTGTTTAGGCTTTGGAATCTGCGGAATCCCGGAGAACTTGATCATGGCGTTGACGAAAACTGGGCAGAAAGGCTTGACTTGCGTGAGCAACAACGCCGGCGTTGATAACTGGGGACTCGGCTTATTGTTGAAGACTCGACAGGTGAGGAATTTTATAAAATGCTAGTAGTTGGATAATAAACTTTCAGAAATTATCAAGCTTTCTTTTTTAGATCAAAAAGATGATCTCGTCGTACGTTGGTGAGAATGCTGAGGTTTGTTAGCTTTTCACAAGCTGTTGTTATAGATGCTTATCTTATTATTTTGTCGCTTACTAATCAATAAATTTCAGTTTGCGCGACAGTACTTGGCTGGGGAGCTCGAGTTGGAATTCACGCCACAAGTAAGTTTGCCACAATTTTTGGCTTTTTAAAATTTGTGTTTGTATTTTTAAAATCCATGCAGTACTTGTATCTTGACTTTTTTAGGGTACTCTCGCCGAACGGATAAGAGCAGCCGGCGCTGGAGTGCCCGCTTTTTACACGCCAACCGGCTACGGAACGTTGATTCAGGTAATCCTTAAAGAAATTTCCTGATTTAAGTTGTAACTACTTTTAAATAGCTCCTAAATATCTGTGTGAATCACTTATTTTTATTTTAGGAAGGCGGCTCACCGATCAAGTACTCTGCCACTGAGAAGATGAAGATCGAGATTGCGAGTCCGGCTAAAGAAGTGAGTTTTTCTGGAACGGGCAAACAACTCGAAGCTAGTGCTGTGTTAGGCTATTAAACATGCTTTGTAGTCTTATTTTATTACTCTAATACACTTGTTTAGACGCGTGTCTTTAACGGGACTAGCTACGTGTTGGAGGAGGCAATTTGGGGTGATTTTGCGCTCATCAAAGCTTGGCGCGCCGACAAACTCGGGAACTTACAATTCAGGTTGGGATCTGGCATGTTGACTATCTGATATTCATATTTGACATGTAAGATTGAATGGTAAATGGTAATTGGACAATTTTATAACGTAGGTAATCCTTTTAAGGTTTCCGGGCACAAGCAGTGGCTTTTGGACTTCAATTAGCATATACATTTCCGTTAGAGTTTGGCATATAAACTTGCATTGCATGATAGTATCCTCGAAGCTTATAAATCTGTAAATGCTCAAGTAATTTTTCCCTTTAGGCATTCCGCCGGAAATTTCAATAACCCCATGTGCAAGGCGGCAAAAGTGACAATCGTCGAAGTCGAAGAGATCGTCGACGTCGGAGTGATCAAGCCGAACGATGTGAGTGAAAGCTAAAAAAAGCAAAACGATTAATAGGGAATAATTTTAAGTAAAGTTTCCATTTAGGTCCACATCCCGTCGGTCTACTGCCAACGCTTGGTACTCGGCAAGGACTACAAGAAGCCGATCGAGAGGCCAATGTTTAGACAGGTACGGGAATTCTATAATAAAATTGCCGTAGTGGTATGATTCTAGAAAAATTATCATAAACATGTATAAAATTGTTTCCAGGAGGGACCCGCCAAGGAGCCGAGCACCCCGGCCGCAAAGGTGCGTGACGTGATCGCGCGACGAGCCGCGCTGGAGTTCAGAGACGGAATGTATGGTGAGTTGGTTAGATGAATGTAAATCTGCTTAGTTTGACAACCACTTTGCCGGGAAAAGTGCTACAAAAATAAGTATAAGTTACTTAATTTTGTAAACGTAGGCTATCAATCTCGAAAACAATGCAATTTTAGCCAACCTTGAGTATCGGTTCTGTCTGTTTTTCTTTATGTTTGTCCTTTGATTTTTAAATGATAATAAACACTTTTTGACTGGCTCTTTTATGGCGTTTGTGTCGTTTCGATATCTGGCTCTAAGAATAGTCTAAGGGTAGGTGTTTTTTCTGGTCTTATCTTGTTCTTATATTTTTGTTATTGTTTTCTTTCAGTTTGCACTAACTTTTCTGTTTTTTGTTGAATTGTGTGGTTGTTGTGCATGTGTTTGTTATAAGTTATAAGTCATTATAGATCATTATAGGGTGTTGTTGGTTGGTTTTTATTAAACAATAAATTTTAGTCAATTTGGGGATTGGCATTCCTACCCTCACTCCCAACTACATCCCCGAGGGTGTCACCGTACACTTGCAAAGCGAGAACGGAATTATCGGAGTGGTTGGTGATAAAACTTTACAGCTTTTATATCAAATAGAACATTTTTAAGATAGATTTTTTACAGACTAGCTGTAAAAAAAGGTGCTGCAAATTTAAAATTGATGTTTCAACAGGTTAACTGCGTAAATTTAGGGTCCCTATCCACGCAAAGGTGATGAGGACCCGGATTTGATCAACGCCGGCAAAGAGCCGATCACTTTATTGCCCGGAGCGGCGATCTTCGGATCCGATGAGAGTTTCGCCATGATTAGAGGGTGGGTTTTAGCTAAAATTTGACTAGAATATAGATTATTTGAATGAGAATATATCTAAAGTACTAAAAAGCTTGAGAATAACCGAAGTAACCCTTTCAATCCGTTTTAATGTGTTGCATTTAGTTCACACATCGACATCACCCTGCTCGGCGCTCTTCAAGTCTCGCAGACTGGTGATCTTGCCAACTGGATGATCCCCGTGAGTGGTTTTGAAAACGGGAAAAGCTGGTAGCAATAAAACTCCGCCCGTGATGAGTTTTTCGCTAAAAGCAGTAGAATTTCTCACTAAATCTGCATCCCTTAAAGAGCGGAAGCTTAAAAGCTAAACTATCTAAGATCAACAAACATTAAACGTATCTTTCTACAGCTTCAAACTTTCTAAATTGAGTGTTTGCCGGTTAAAAAGATTCGATATAAGATTTTCATTGAAAAAAAACGTCTAAAAGTTTATTACAAACTTTCAATTGACCATTGACAAGGCCCCCTTTCACCCCTCGATCACTCTCTTTGGCGGCCGAGTGGGTAGTGTGTTCGCCTCTCACGCCAAGCAAGTCGGGTTCGAGCCCCGTCGGCGATGATGGTCATTGGTAATTTGCGCCTGAATAAGCATCATTTGATGAGACTTTCCAGCTGAGCCAACGAATAATATTTTTACAAAAGTTTACAAAAAGAAGCGCAAAAGTAAAAACTTTAAAAATATTATTTTGAGTACAGATAATCGATAGTTTGTATAATTCTCTAGTTCAATTGATATTTTGGAACTTTAGGGTAAACTCGTGAAGGGAATGGGCGGAGCGATGGATCTCGTCTCGGCACCGGGCGCTCGTGTCATCGTCACGATGGAGCACTCGTCGAAGGGACAACCGAAGATCGTCAAAGCGTGCGATTTGCCATTGACTGGAAAGGGAGTCGTCAGTCGGATCATCACCGAATTGGTTAGTCGCTTGTTTCGGTTAATTTGAAAATCCAAGGAATAGGCTTTAGTTTCGGTTAAGCTTAACCTATCCTAATGATTCTGAACCTGTTGGCGTTTTGGTTTTCAACTGAATATCCTTTTTGGCTATAGCTAATCAATTTAGTCTAAAATTCTACGACTTAGCAAGATCGCGAGTCATAAAATGTTGCACTTGAAACACTTGATAGCCTACGAATAATTTCTGTTCCATTTAGTGCGTCTTCGACGTGACACCCGAAGGCTTGTTGCTGGTTGAGTTGCGCGAGGATTTAACCGTCGAGGACATCATCAAAAACACCGAGGCCGAGTTCAAGGTTAGCATTGGATTATGGGGATTTGAAGAGACTGAAAATTTTAGTTTAATAGAAAGTTCAAAAGGAATGGACTAAAGTACAAGTGTTGTTTAAAGTCCTAGGAATATTTTAGCTCATAAAGTAAACTGAAAGCGAAATTATAACAGAAAGTGGATCAAATTTTAACTTTATTTCATCATTTGAATTTTAACCGTATGAGTTAAACCGATGATTGGCTTTAGTCTGTTATTTGGAAACTTGGTGAAATTGAAATTTCAAGAACTCGGTAGTTGTTAATTTTAAAGTTTTAAACTTGAAACGCTCAGTTTTAAATACACTTTCATACGTAAAGTTTACAAAAGCACTGACTTGAAATTCCAAAGCTACTTTAGCTCTACTAGATATCTCAAATAGATCATATCTCAAGCATTTATTAGAGCTAGCTCGATACATGCAGTGCTGAATGTTATTATTCGTTGAAAAAGTTACATCTTCTTTTCCAGATCTCACCCGAGCTCAAACCGATGGGCCAAGGGGCGCTTCGTCACTAAAGAGGAAACAACAACAAGGATTCTTTCAAGTGCCTTCATAATATTATTCTATTTTCTAGTTATTTTAGTTAGTTCCTCAGCACATTCAGTTCCTTAAAAATAGTGTCATCATTAGTAAGTTCTATGAAATATTCGTGTTTAGGTGATCGATTTTCTTGTAAAATTTCAAATCTCCGTCCCTTGTATCCAAATTCAAAAATTCGTAAGCCTCATGTGGTTTTAAATGTAAATTTCAGCCTTAAATGTAAAATTTGAATTTCTTCCGCTCAATCCATTGTACTCAAGAAAATTTTACCCCCAATTTCGAGGCCTTTTGATCAATTTTTGTGCTAAATTTTGCGATTCCTAGAGTTTTTCCCAATTTTTTAGGCGTGTGTTTGGTTTTCTCGAAATTTTCTCGTCGTTTCTTGTATTTTTTGACTTTTTCTGATTTGATTTTACCGGTGATACGAATTTTTTTTCGAAAGTCAACGAGCTCTGAATAAAGTTCCGAAACATTTAGCTAATATTTGACGACCAATGTGTTCCTTGGGAGTTTTATGGCAGAATTCTCATGAAAGCGGGCAAATTGATGATGGTACTGTAGTAAAGAGTGCTTTTTAACAGGTGGATCTGGTAGAGGATGCGGTAGCTTCATAGCTTTCGAACTCAAAAAGCTACTCCATGAACTTTTCAATGCATTTTAGAAAATAAATATAAAGGATCGGCTAATCAAGAATAGGGTTGAAAATTTCTACATTTTTCTTTAAAACTTCAAACTTTATTTGCTTTATTTAGTAGCACGCTTTCTTTATTACAATCTCTCGAAGAAATTCGTTGATTGGGATCTTTGAATGCGCTCGTTGATCACTTCTTGTAGCCGCTTCGAGGTGACCGAGTCGCGGTGACGAGCCACCTGAAATCGCTTCTTGTCACAGTAAAATATTTAAGCTTTTCCTGGAAATACTTTGAGCTCTATCAAATCCCGTAAACACCCCTTTTCTGGCGCACTCAATTCTTCAATACCTCATAAATGGTGCTCTGCCATCGCTGCAGGGATTGCCACTCGTTTTGTGCGAGTTCTCGAAGTAGTGAGATGTGGGTGCGAACGACATCCGAAACATATGAAGAGATGTCATCGTTCCATTCTGAAAAGAATCGTTCTTTAGAAATGCTGCATGTTTCGGAGGAATTTGTATTCTCCAGATCTCACCGTACTCCTCTCGGTACCGACAACAGCGACAATGTCGGCGTGGAGCTGGTTGGGAGTGGGAACGAGCTGGAATCGATTGAGAAAATAGGATAGAAACAAGGAGGGAAAGGCAAAAGCTAAACAACTAAAGCTTTCTTTTATCAAAACCGACCTTTTTTTCTCATTTTCTCAAATTCTTTCTGTAAATCTCTCGATTTAATCGAAAAAGCTTTCCGAATTTTGGGAACTTTTTGAAGAGTCTGAAGCAATTGTTGCCCCTTTTTCAAATTTCTCCCGATTTTCTTTGAAACTTTTCCTTTTCTTTCGATCATTTCTCGCTTTTTCCAACTTTCTTGGCCTCAATTTTGACTTTTCTTCGATTTCTTCGATTATTTCAGCCTTTTTCAACCTAATCAAACTCTCAGGCAATACAGTTTTTTCTTTTTTTTCAAAAATTTTCTCTGTCGCAAAAATTGGCCTATTTTTTGAAACACTTGTTCCCAGTGAGGACAATTCGTCGAAATCTTCCGAATTTTTCCCGATTTCCTCGAAAATTTCCGAATTTTCCGGGAAATTCTGTGATTTTTCAGCAATTTCCGGTTTCTTTAAGGAGTTTTCTGACTCGGAAAGAGTCGGTTTCAAATTTTCCCCAATTTGTTCGTTTGCCTGCAGGTTTTCCTGATGCTGCAGCCTGAGTTTCACTTTTTTCGGGGTTTCTTGAAGAATTGGCTGAATATCTTTTGGATGCTGAATATCCTGAAGTTTTTCCGCAATTTGCATATCATTGGGGGTTGCTGAAGATCTTGAAACGCTCGAGCTTTTCGACTTCTCCTTTTCGGTACTGGAGGTCGCTTCAGAGCTCTCTTCGTCGGATTTCTCGGTGCTGCTTCGGGAGGACTCTTGGCTGAAATTCAATTTTTCAATCCATTTTCTGAAAGGCAATTATTTCAGTCAAAAGGAAAATCTTGACTTCATTAGCATTTGAGGCCGTTAAAGGACTCGGCTCAAGTTGAAACATGCATTTTCTTTTTTGCATAACCATCAACCTGGTCAGTCATTTATCGTAAAACCGGAATAAAAAGTAAAAAGATAAGCCTCTAACTGTTGTAACAGGAGAAATTCTCGAAGTCTAAAGTAAAAGAAGATTATTGTTTCAAAGTTTTCGTTATCTAGGCTCAATCGAAGGATTCAATCATGGCTTAGTTCAAAAGAAATCTTTTTTTTCACTTAATATATATTGAATATGATTTTATAGTTAATTTGAAAGCTCTCGAAAATCCGGATTTACTTTTCCTGTGGATTTACAGTAGCTTCAAACGTTTACAATTCTCCGAATCATTAACACTTTTTGATTATCAACACGATAGCTTGAAACACAAAGGATTTTAGCATTTGAATAGATCCACTGAAGACAGAATATATGACTTTATGTTGAATAAAGTCAGAATATGAGTATATGACAGAATATATGACTTTATGAGTATTCATAGACACAGTGAATCCGAATTTTGAAGAACTATGTTTCAAAATAATGGTAATAAAAATAGACCCGACCAGTTTGTCAAGTGCCAAATTGTGTCCAAGGGAAAGTTCAAATCGAGATTGTTTACAGCTGTTGAAACTAGAAGGCGAGCTCCATTTAATGCATAATTAATGAAGGAATAGTCAGTTCTGCTGCATCGGATTTGAGAGTAATATGCGTGTTGGATAACAATTAGGCTTGACAGCGATTTCTTGAATTCTAACACAACAGACTTGACGGACTATTTCGTTGCGTATCTTTCTATAGTCACTTTGTTGGGTTTACGGTAGCTGGAGTGCAAGACAAGGCTTCTAGGATTCTGGAAGGTTAAAAAACGGAGCTAGGGTAGCTAGGGCGCAAAAAGAACATTATTTGGGTTGATTGCGGTAAAAATTCAATTCATCTAGATTACGGTAGGACTCTAGACTCTTCATATTTTACCTGGAAGCATCACTGGAACGCGAATCACTCGAGCTTTCGTCACTTGATCGATTTGTTGAGGATTTCGACGAATCTTTCGAAGAAACACGAGAGGATCGATTTGAGGACTAAATTTGAAAGTTCCATGGTTGGTTTGACTAAACGCCATTAATAGCCTTTTAAAGTCTCCCACTTTGAAACACAAATTTCGAAATTTCGTCACTTTATTGATTTGTGAAGGATTTCGACAAATTTGTAACTATTTACAATAAAGCCATTTAGGCCTTTGATCTTTGACCTTTCAGTGCACTTCGGCTATCAAAAATCACATTCAAATTTTTTTTTAAAGATCAAAAATCACGTTCAAAAAGGTTTAAAAGATTAAAAAACGAGTAGCGGTTGAGGAAAGTTTTCGATTTGTCAAGTCTTTAGCTTTAAAAAAAGCTTAGTTTGCCGAATTGCATAATCTACATAAATAGTAAAATTTAGTTTTAAAAAATGATTCCAATAGTCTTTTCTAAAGATTAAACCTCGATTTTCTCATCAGCGAAATCGATCGATTCTGCTGAGGAGCTTCCACTGGCGATGAAGCCGAAGAATGGACTCTTTGTCGTCATGAGAAGCGATTTTGTCGGCTGAATGGCTTTTCATATTGACTATTTATCTTCAAAATCGTTTTCGATTACACGAAAATGTATCTAGAGGTAAGTTTTTGTATTCAACAAAACAGTGACTACTTTGGAGTGACTGCTTGGAATTCGTTTTACATTGAAACATGACTTTTTCGATTTCAGCAAGCTTCACCTTTTCCACCTCAGTCCGATGCGTTTCCGTGTCCAGTCGCGTTTCGCTTCTGAACAAAAGCTGATTGAGCGGTTTTTTTTGGAGAAACAGGCCAGACAAGCTTTACCATTAGTCTTCGAGATCATTGTTTTATCTCATTAAAGTTGAGACATGGTCTTGACAAATTAACTTTTAGGGTCAATATTTTAGCTTATTGGCTTTGAAACATCAAGTTCTCTAGCTCAAATTGAAGCCCTGTAAAATCTGAAGCTCAATCTTTGTCAATGTTGTCGAAAGAATTGACTTTTGTGGTCAATAGTTGAGCTTACCAACTTTGAAACAGTAGATTTTCTGGGTTAAATTAAAGCTCTGTGAAATTCTAATTTTTGAAAATGTTGATCCAAGAATTTTTGCGTATAGTAAAGCGACGAATTCACAGTTTTTTTTGGTGACAAAACCCACGAATCATTGATTCTAATTATTAAATCCGATTAAACTTGAAACTTTGTGCAACGAAAGTTGAGCTGATTGAAATGCAAAGGTATAAATGATAGCCGATCTCTTTGAGAAATAAAGCCATAAAAGTTAGGTCATTGAAGATTTCTATAAATGTTTCAACTATAGAAAAAGAAATGGTGTAAAGTAGAATGTTGAGTTTTTGAAGAAACCATCAAAATTTTCACAATTATTATTGGGTTTGTTTTTTTGATTTAAAAAATTGTTTGATTTAAATTGATCTTAATAGTCAATCTTTGTCATTCTTTACTTTGAAACATTAATTTTCTTAGCTCAAACTAAAAACACTGTAAAACCTTTAAATCTCACTAGAGTATGCAGGATTGTCATTTTAAGACATTTAAGCAAACCTGAATATCATAACCATTAGGTAGACCAGTTCGTTGGTCTACCTAATCGGCTAATAACAGAAATTTCTTTGTAACTTTGTACTAGTTTTCAAGAGGAGATTTAGAAATATCAAATGATTAGAATAGTTTCATTCATCTTTGAATCTTCATCACTTTATCACTGAAACAGTTAACGACTACGCGGCTGTACGCCCCGAAATACCGGAATGTTCAAAAAAAGCTAAAGAAATTCTGTTTTCTCGACTGAATTAAACTATGCAATTGTACAAGACAGGACTCAGAAGAACCAAAACTTAGTGATTGCTTAGCGATTGCTCAGAGACTAACCTCATAAGTTGAAACATTTACTTTAAAGCTTGAAGTTTTTAAATTTTTTAGAAATAAAAATTACTGTAGTTTTTATAAAGATTTTTTGATTTCGATCAAATTTAGAATCGAATTTTTGTGCTTTTGTGCTTTACCGAAACTGCGGCTGTTCGTTGCTGAGCCGACTTTTCGAGATGGGATCCTTTTCTTTCGGTTGAAAGAGTGTGGCGTCGATCGAGTTCCTGAAAATGATAATCAATTCCAATTTTGAAAAGTATTTTTGAGCGTTAAGTGTCAATAAAAGTAAAGAAGTTTTTTGGCAAAGCTGGGAATTTCTTTTTGGGAAAAAAATGGGTTTTTAAAAAGATTCGTGTTTCTTCTTTGAATAGGACAAATCTCAGTTCATCCTTTTAATCATTGAGAAAAGGTAAAAAAGTTCCAAAGTCTTCAGTTTCAGTTTTCAGTTTGAAAGCCAAAAACACAAAGTTTGCAAATCCTCGTCGTTTGGGATTTAAAATGTCCTAGAATAACTGGTGATTTGACTGCAAATAGAATGTCCAAGTTGAAGCCGAGCACTTTGGAAAAAGAAGAGATGAGAGATTATCGAAAATTCGAAATAACTAGTGAAGTTCGGATGCTGATAAATGTAGCTTGAGCAACGAATTTTGTCAGGGATTATAAGGGTTTTCGAAACTGACCCTGAATACTTTCCAACTAATAACAATTTCTTTTTACCGCATCAATAGCAGCCAAGGATCAGTTAATCGAAAGACCTTCCAACATCAATGCTAATAAATCAATGCATCATTGCTAATAAAAACCTCGAATTCATCTGAACACCTTTGAAACTTCATTTTTTCTACTCGGATTCAGAACTGGAATGCTACTTAGAGTTGAAATATTTCAGACATGGCAAATGGATGGAGCAATCGTTGCTTATAAACATCAAGAATTGGTACGAAATACTTTGAAACTAATCAAAACTTTTTGCTAAGCAGAAATGTACATTAAAACTTAGAAATAAGAATGGAAATCAAGGAACTAAACTTAGAGAGATAGGAACCAAATTTGAAGAGATAGGAACCAAATTTAGCCAAGAGATAAAAGGGATGAGTTAATCGAAAGAACTTCCAACATCGGTACCTATTGGAAAGAAAGTGATTGAAAAAGAGTCGCTTAATTTGAAACTCGAGAATTGACTTTGCTTTTAGCTGAACAGACCAAACATTCATTAAACATTTGAAAGTAAAAATGAAGAATTGTTCATCAAGTTCCTAAAGACTTTGAAACCAATAGACTTTTTTCAATTTGAGACTGACGAGAAGGACGTGCGTACCACCTATTGCCAATAAAAACCTAGAATTTATCTCAAAAATTTTGAAACTTAATTTTTTCTACTCGGATTCAGAACTGGAATGCTACTTGGAGGTGATAATATTTCAGACATGGCAAATGGATCGAGCAATCCTTGCTTATAAACATCAAGAATTCATACAAAATACTTCGAAACTAATCAAAACTTTTTGCTGAACAGAAATCGAAATCAAAAAGTTCATTCTTTTCTAAGTCTCAAGTCTGATTTTGTCTCCGAAACAATTTGGGCCTTAAAAACTTTCGATTTATCTGGGAAACTATGAAACACGTTTATTTTTTGTAATTTAACTGAAAATTGCACAAAAGTCATGGATTTGAGCTCGAAATCAAATGAAATTTTGATACTTGAACCAATTTTTGTTCTAATTACAATTTAAATATCTCTAATTGATCTAGAGAAACTCTTTGAAACCAATCAAAACAATTTTTTTGGTTGAATTTTGTTCACTGGACTTATACTTGGGTCTAATAAGAAGGAATTCGAAGGAAGGAATTCGAAGGAAGGAGCTCGAAGGAAGGGATTCGAAGGAAGGGGTTTGAAGGAAGGAATTCGAAGGAAGGAATTTGAAGGAAGGGATCCGAAAGATGGGATTCGAAAGAGGGAATTCAAAAGAAGGAATTCGAAGCAAGGAGTTCGAAGGAAGGGATTCGAAGGAAGGAGCTCGAAGGAAGGGATTCGAAAGAAGAGATTCGAAAATAGAAATAAGAAGGAATCCGAAAGTCGATCCGCCCTACCAAGAATTGTTGATGAAAATCTAGAATTCTTGTAGCAAATTTTGAAACTAAACAAAAATTAGCCGAATTTCCCTCAGAATTGGAGAACTTTTGTGAGTTTTCAATGTCCAAATGGCTTCTCGTAAAGGTCGGAGAAAAAGAAAGACGGTCCCTATGGAAACTGTGGGCAAAAATGGCGAGAATCAGGGCTTTGATCAACAATTTTGCGTGTTTCAAAGTTTTTAGGGTTTCCGAAAGCTCTCCAAAAGTCTCTCCTTCACTAATTTCAGCCATTTCCTTTTAAAATTGCTTTTTTTAGAAAGTTTTTGACAAATTCTTTTATCCTTTTTCAAATTGTGTCCTTGATTTTGTTTTTTAGGGTTAAATTTTCACGAGTTTCAAAGTATTTGGTATACTTTCGAAGAATCAATCATCTAATATCGAATTTGAAAAGTTTCACTGAAAGCACTTCACTTATCTTCTTTGTTTGAAAGTTTTCGAGTTTGGAACTGTCTGAACTCTAACAGTCTGAAGTCTGAAGTCTGAAGTCTAGTCTGAACTCTAACAGCTTCCCCAATAATTCGTCCTTTGACAGAAATTTAGAACAAACAGAAAAACTTTAAAACACTTGTTTTAAAAAACTAGCATTGTAAATTGATCAGCTAGTAGTGAGCAAGTTTTGCAAGTTTCAAAATCAACACTCTCAACTCAAGTTTTTTTTCATTTTAATCGTATTACCATCACCAATTCCTGCTTCACTTGTAAACCTTTCGTTAATTAGATTTCTAGAACATTATTTCTCGCAGCTTACCTCAATTTCCTCAACGCTTTCACCGTGTTAACAGCTGGGCCCATTGAATTCGTTCGGGGCAACATGCTGCTTCTCTAAAAGGATTTCAAAATGGAAAATTGACAAGTTTCAATACTCAAAGCCTACCGTAACCCACCGACATGTTCCCAACAGTAATCCGCTTGCTAAACCGTGTTCTCTTTCCCATTTTCACCGTAGTCTTGTCTTTTTTTATCCAATCTATCCACTTTTTGTACCTTTGTCCTTTGTCCTTTGATATCCTTTGTCAACCCTCACAGAATCAGACAAAATTGGATAAAAATAGACAAGACTACGGTAGAAAGAGAAAGAAGAAACATTTTAGGAAACGGGTTAGAAGAAAAGTGTCCATTCCAGCTCAGGATTACGATAAAAGAGCAAATTGTGATGGCTTAAGAAAACTCGATGACTAACTTAAGGAGTGCTTTAGGCTAAGACAAAAAGTTGAAACATCACTTTTTTCATCCAATTAAACCTTTCAATGGACCTGACTTTTACAGCAAAAAAAACCCGTGTTTCAACTTATCTAAAGAGAGAAAAGAAAGAAAGTGAAAAGAGTGAAGGAAACGACAAATCTGTGTATTTCCCAAATCGTTGTCACGCTCTGAAAGCTGGGAACTTTGAAACGAACTTTTCTCTAGCAATTGAGGACCCAAGAAAAGCCCCAACTTGCCACCACAATTTTCCAAGTTTCTTGTTTCCAAGACCAAATTTTCCCAACATTCATTTTATTTACAATAGCTTTGTTTTGTTTTGTCAAAAACAAATTTTCACAAATTTTCAAGTTTAAAACCCACCCTACTCGACATGAACGATTCATTATTGTTGAAGACTGTATCGGGCGAAGATTCACTCAAATCCGACACGTCCAACACCACGTTTTCATCTAGAAATTTAGCATTTAGAAACATTTAAAGCTTAGCTTTTAAATGTGTTTAGTGAAAAGGCTTTAAATTTAGTTTTAAAATAAATTTTGAATGAAAATTTGAGTTTTAAACAGTTTTGTTAGAGTAAGACAAACTTTTTCAAAGCTGTGTTTCAAGCTGATTCATTATTAAGTTTACTTTTAGCATTTTAATAATGCCATGTTAGCTCTCAAGTAATAAACGTTAATAAAGTACTAAATGTAAAGCTTTTTTTTTGTGTACTTTGTGCTCTCAAACATCCCTGTAAACATCGCCTTTCGGGTACACGCAATTCTTTCATTTCCTCTCGTGACATCGGTGCTGTAAGGGGAGGATTGAGTGCGCCAGAAAGGGGCTGTTTACGAGATTTTGGGAGAGCACAAAGTAAACCAAGAGTACAATATCTGGTAAGTGCAAAATAAGGACCAAGAATCGAGCTCTCCATCGAGACGTCCTTTTGCAGGGATCGCCCGGCTTGAAGGGGAACTCTGAATATAAAACTTTTGTAAAATCTACGCAATCTAAAGCCGTTGCCGATTGTCTCTGCTTTTATAAATTTCTTTTTAAAAATTTTGAAACTCATCTTTTTTTATTTCTTGGGAAAGGTCTTCTGCTCTTATGAACCCTGTTTAACGGACGATTTGGTTACGGGTACGCACAAACCTGCCTGCTATATATCAGGCTTGAGATATATCACGTCACCAAGAACACTAAGCTGCAAGCAAAGCCAGTATTGTCTCTTTCTTTATAAATTTGTTTTTAAAAATTTTGAAACTCATCTTTTTTATTTCTAATTTCTCTTTTGAACTGATTTGAAACACGAATTTTTTTTGCAAGCATTAACTTTTTAATTACCTTGAAACATTGCTTTTCTCAACCGGTCCAGCTTTTCGTAACGCCTCCGAGCTCTCTTTCAGCGATGATAGATAGCTCTGAAATTTGATTAACATTGAAATTTTGGGATTTTTACAGTAACAAGCTAGGAAATATTTGGCTTATAGGTTTTAAAGAGATTTCCGTAGAAAATAGGAATTTTAAGTCCGAAGAAGACTAGGCAATCCTTGAAAAGTGTCAAAAGCTCCCCTTATTTGCCATCTCTCAAAATGAAGATTCTGAAGAAATTAATGGTGATTGAAGCACTTCAATTGATGAAAGTCAATCACGATTTCCGATCATTCGTCCTATTATGCGGGCTGTTTCCCTCTGTTTCCCTTCATGCTTTATTTCTCTAGTGACACGAAAGCCGCTCGAGAAAGTTATTTCGACGAGCATGAGCCTTTTGTGTGAGTGAAACGCCTTCATGGGCGACTCTTTTGAAAGCTTGCACATTTCGTTGATTTAAAAATATCTGTGTTGATGGAAACGAGACGAATCCCCGAAAATTTGATGTTCATAAGTTTTTGCCTCTTCAAAGAACCAAGTCTTTGCTAACATTTACTTCAATTTCTCGACAGAGACTCAAACCTCACTCGGTCACTTCTCTCAATCTACACTTCTCTCAATCTTCTCTCAATCTCAATCTTCTCAATCTACAGTGAGATTCAAGTGAGCTCTAGAGACAATCGAATAGTGACAATCGAAGTTTCTCATCCTCAGATTCACATCAGCAAGAAAAAGACGTTTTTTAAATAATAGCTTTTGCGATCGTCGGAGTCGATTCGAATATTTTGAATTATTTTAATTATTGATTTATAATGAGTTAATTTTAAAGTCCTTGAATTCACAAACGTGAAACTCAAACCTCACTCGGTCACTTCTCTCAATCTACAGTGAGATTCAAGTGAGCTCTAGAGTGACAATCGAAGACTCTTTTGAAAGCTTGCACATTTCGTTGATTTAAAAATAAGAAAATAGAAATTTTAAGTCCGAAGAAGACTAGGCAATCCTTGAAGACTCTCAACTTTGAAACAGCAAAGTTTTGAAGCTATTTTTGCACAAAATCAATTCTAAAATTGGTTCGAATATCGTTCGATTATTACAGTACAAACGAGTACTATAATATTACAGTACAAAGTACAGTATTACAGTACTATTACAGTACAAAGCAGTACTATAATATTACAGTGCTATTACAGTACAAATGAGTACTATAATATTACAGTACTATTACAATACTAACAGCACTATTACCGTACAGTACAGTACAGTATTACAGTACTATGATATTACAGTACAAATCAGTACAATAGAAATTGCCATTTTCTTTTCAAAATCTATCATTTCACCTTAGTATTTTAAACAAAAATAGACGAAATTTGAGGTTTGAAAGTTGATGTTTCAAAAAAAGAGGGCTTTAAAGAAACTTTAAATTTCAAAAATTTTTTTAAAGCCCTCTTTTTTGAAACATCAACTTTCTACCTTTTAAAAAATACTTAATTTTAGCAAATTTATCTGATTGCTGACCGAATTCTCTTTAAAAAGTCAAACTTTAGAAAAATGAGAAGAAAACCCACTAAAGCATTGCTTGAGAGGCCCTTTTGCGGGCTTTTTGTGTACATTTCTGCTCCAAATCGACTCTAGATTCGAAATTTGAATAAAATCGTGAAGAATCTAAAGATCTAGATATAGAATATTAGATTTTAAGAATATTTAGAATATTTAGAATATTTTAAGACATTCAGCTGTTTAACTAATTGTTAGTGAAAGAAATTTGCCAGGCCATTCGTTGCCAGGCAACCGAGGCTTCAATTTGGTCAAGAGACGGGGAAGAGCTCCCCAAATTTGAGCATCTGACTTCGGCTGACTCGAAACTCGAGTCAGCCCTCAGTCAGCAGTCAGCAGTCAGCCGAGTCGAGACTCGAAAATTCTCATCAAGAGCATTTAAGTAATCTGAGAAATGTTCCTGGAATTGGCTGGAATTGGCTCTTGAATTGTAGACCGTCAAAAGAGTTAAAGAGAACAAATTCGGGCTTTTCTTTGACGAATTTCATTTCGTGAAAAAAAGAGTTTCGCTTTTTGTGAAAATCTACAAAAATATGAAGTTTCTATAGGCTAATTTCTTTTCTAAAAAGGCATTCATTACAGATAAAACGGTGATCGGTTCACCGTATTTACCGTAATTACCGTAATCCGATTCTAGAATTTCTAGAAGACACCTCAAACATTTCTCAAACAAATTTACAGCTAAATATCTTCTTTTTGTGTCATCTTGAAAGCAAAAGAAGGAAAACCCCATGAAAATCACTGTCGATTTGTTCTTTGTCATTCGTTCTTTGTCTTTGTTTGTCAATCTCTCGCCTTCTGGCAAGCAAACTTTGACTAAGTATTAGCCGAAACGGAGCTACACCGCCCAAGATGACAAAGAACAAAGACAACAGCATCAGTGTTCGCCCTCTTTCGGTCAAACTCCGTGAATCGGGATAATACACGCGGAGTGATTTTTGGCAAGGTAGCGGATGGCGACACCCCGGAGGATCCTTGGAGATTGGTTTGAGATGAAATGCAAGATTGGAGGGAGGATCCTTGGAGAGAGGATCCTTGGAGGAGGATCCTTGGAGGGAGGATCCGGGAGGTGGCCTCCGAGACATCGATTGGAAATCTGGAAATCGATTAGCAAACGAATATTTGGGATTAGAATTATTTATTTGCTAAATATCTTCTTTTTGTGTCATCTACAAAGCATGAAATCCCATGAAAATCACTGGCGATATGTTCTTTGTGTGGCCGCGTAGTCGCTCACCATCTGGCATAGGACTCTGGCGTAAGGGTTTTCCTTTTCGAGTGATGGTAAAGGAGAAGGAGCGGAAGCGGCTGAGCCCTGAGCTCCTCCCAAAACTGGTACGAAAAAAGTTTCTTGAAAGCTAAATAATACAAAGATTAAGTTGTGTTCCAGCTAAGAAAAAGCGAAATTTTTGGTAAAAATCCGTCTACTAGAACAAGTGATATAAAGACAAAATTCTTTTTCATTTAAAGCCATCTACAACTGTGTTTTCCTTCAGAAATTCTTGTGTTATTTATTTTAACTTTCATGTTATTTTGTTTGAAAGTTTATATTTTAAATAAATTTAATAAGCAAAATGTCTTTCTAGATTTGAGCAAGTTCGGCTTAATATCTTAATAGTTCGGCTTTAAATATCTTTAATAAATAAGTGACACAACAATTTCTGAAGGAAAACACAGTTGTAGATGGCTTTAGCTGAAAAAGAAGTTTGTCTTAATATCTTTTTTTCTAGTAGAGGGATTTTTACGAAACTTTCACTTTTTCTTAGCTGGAACACAACTTAAACTTTGTATTGTTTAGCTTTTTCTTCAAGAAACTCTTTTTTTTGCTTTGTTTGTCTTGCGCCCACCAAACCCCTGAAATCATTATGCCCTGAATTTGGCTCTGTATTTGGCTCTGTCACGAATTCTGCGCTTCGTTAAGCCATTGTGGCACTTGAACAGCACATGAGCTGAGTGATTTGAATTCTCAGTTTGAAAACCGAGTTCGTCGAGAATCTCAATTCCTACGAACACTCTTGAAATTCAATGAGTAATTTGGCTACAGTAGCTTTAGTGAACTCGCCGCTAATCACTTTTCCAAAAGGCACCTCAATTTTAGCCAAAACTAGCGTCATTCCCTTTCGTTTCCCTTTCGATCAGCTCAATTTTAGTATGATTGACTGAGGCTTGTGATTCCCTCGAAACATATAAAAATCGATCGAAATGAAAACTGCGAATTACGATAGTTTTCACAAAGTAGTTGTCTTCCAGGAATGGATTTAACTGAGAGGAATGTAGAGAGAAGCTCTCAGAGAGAGGCTCTCAGAGGGAAACTCTCAGAGGGAAGCTCTCAGAGGGAAGCTCTCAGAGGGAAGCTCTCAGAGAGAAACATGTCATGTGTTTTTTATCGTTTTTCTTAAAAGAATAAAGAATAATTGGTACAAGAAAAAGAGAAAAGGGAAGAGAAGAGAAGAGAAGAGAAAGGGGGAGAGAAGAGAAGAGAAGAGATCTAAGATAAATTAGAAATTTCACAAATAACTGAAGGGAAAAATCGGTGAAAAACATTGAAAATCTCGAAAAAAAAACGAATCATTGTAAAGTGATAGGGAAGAATGATGGAAACGAACGTAATGAATGTAACCAATGTAATGAATGTAATCAATGATGGAAATGAGAAAGGAAATTCCTGTAAAATCCTCAAATTTTCGGAGAAAACTTTCAAATTTGCCTTAAAATTTGAGAAATTTAAAGAAAAATCGAGAATTTTAGGTTAAAAAAGGTTAAAAAAGCAAATTTTTTAAAGAAATTCACAAAGAAATATGCAAATTTTCGAATTTTATTTTAATTTTATCAAAATTCACAAAAGAAAAGAAAAGAAATTTTGATTTTAAACGAAATGGCAGGTGAGAAATCGTCTTTCCAAAGATTTTCCAATGAAAAAGAGTTTCAAAAGGAACGGCTTCAAAGTTTAATGGAAAATATCAATCGCAATGAAATCAGCTTGTTCATTTCAATAGAAAAAAGATCAAAAAACAATTCTTGACACAGAAAAAGACAACTTTTCAACTCCTAGAACTATCGAAAAAATCCAGGTTTCAAATTTGGCAACTTCCCGAAAAACTTTTGAATGAACTTAATTTGATTTTTTTTTTTGAACTTAAGTTGATGAAAACTTTCGTCGACTATGCAATGTAACTTTTCAATTGAATATCTTATAATATCTTATAATATCTTATAATATCTATATAATATCGTAACAATTGAATATCTATTTCCGGTCATATTTAGTAAAAAGCTACTTTAGCTTAGTTGCGTTTTGAAAGTTCAAGTTTCAAAATAAAATATAAAATCAATCGATCCAAGATATCAGTCATTTTTCAAAAAGTTCTTTTAACTGTAGTGTCAAGAATTGTTGTCGAAGCTTAGGAAATATTTACAAATTTCTCATTAATTCATTTGTTGCATTGGTGGAGTGATCGCCGTGGCCGAGGAGTCGTTGTCGAGTTGGTTCACGAAGAGATTCGATCGATCGATCGGGAGATTTGACTGGAAAGAAATATTCAGAAAAGAAACGTCATAGAACGTCATAGATGTGGTCAAGTAGCTTTTTCAGCGAGATTTTTTGTCATGTTTAACCGGTTGTAAGATCGATTGCTATGGCCAAGGCAAAGGAGAATATGAAAAAAGTCGTGTTTCAAGTTTTTTACTTAGCCTAGAGCACTTTTTAAACCAGTTTAGCCCTGCCCTGCCCTGCCCTGCCAACAACAATTTTCTTTCTTACCCTAATCCTTCCTCTAGTTTTTATTCTGGCCTAGTTGGCTGCTCTAAAATGCCAGAATGCACCTCTTTCTTCAAATCCGTTTTCTAAAACGATTGATCGTAAGCAACGTAGACGTAGACGATTGCATTAGTCTCATTAGAATAGATCATTAGTCTCTCACCATTAGTCTCATTAGAATAGAAGAAAAAGTTAGCGTAAACAAAAAAATACAAATTTTACTTAAGTATCTTAAGCTCTAGTCAACTATTTTGTTCCCCAAATCCCCGAAACTCACAATTTGTGAGATTGTCGAGTATTGCGGTGAAAGCACGGGGTTGGTGCCTCTCGGATAGCCGAAAGTCGAGTAGAGATCTGTGGAGAGGCTCGGCTGGAATGCATTCATTGGTTACATTGTAGAAATTGATATTATTTGATGAATTGAATTTTCGACGTTTTGATTGATGACTCATCTTCTTCTTTAATTAGTCCAAAAGAGAAACTCGAACTTTTCAAAGTATAGCAGCAATAGTCGGGTCATTTTCTTGGGTTAGATTAAGAAAGTTTTGGTTCTAGATTGGTTTGCAGATAGTTTTTATGCTTATTTTACTTTGAAACTTATGATTTACCTGGATCTGCGCCAAATTTAATCCGTTCAGCCCGAGCTGATTGTACGAGAAGGCGTTTAACTCGGGCAATTGGGGAAGGAATCTGAAAGTTGAAGTTGAAATCTTAGTCACAGAGATTTTTGTCGAGTTCGAATTGGCGATTTCATCTTTTATCTTATTAGTTTATTTTTGAAACTTACTCATTTGAAATGAAGGAAATTACTGTTTTTTTTGTTGAAGATCTATTCGTTTTAACAGAATAAACAAAGATATTTATTGATTTCTAGCTTTTCAGAGATAAAATTGAATAAACAGCTCTGAATAAACAGCTCTCTAAAGAAAAGCAATCGTTTTTGGTTATTTTATTGCATTTGAATTGCAAGGAATGCCTTTCACCTTGCCTGCCTTCACTTTGCCTCCCTTCACCTTGCCACTTTTGAAACTCACTCATTTGGTCTCGTTTGCTGTTGTTGGGGGTAAGGTGAGGGCAATGAGGAGATCCCGGTCAGTCCCGGCGTTTGAGCCATCGAAGACGGGGTCGAGAGCTGGAAATTATGGTTTTAAAGCTGGCTTTAAAGCTTTAAATGTTTGAAATGTGATAAATTTCACAGAGAGCAAAGAAATGATCGAATTCACATTGTGTTTGCACGATATTACTTGGTAGGAATGCGTTTAGACTGCTTTTCAATTGAAAACACGAAATTTGTGGTTTGGCCGGTTTGGGAAAGCGGAAGCGCGTGGTATGAGTTTCGGAGATTTGAAATTTGGGTTCGAATTGATCCTTGATACGAAATAACTCGATATTACTACTCGATCTTACTACTCGTTATTACGTAAACAAATTTGAATTTTACTTCCCCAACTTTGAAACATAGTATTTCGTCTGACTTAAAAATTGGTTTATTTTGAGATATACACAATTTTAGTGGTGTTAAAGTTAACGTAGTTACAAATAATGCTCTTCGCTTCTCTGAAATTCATTTTTTATCGCGGTAACGAAAGAAAAGTTTGGGATTAATGCTTCGAAGCCGGCCGTTCAAATTGAAACATCAATCAATAATAGGAAATAAGCATTCCACATTACGTAAACAGATTTGAATTTTACTTGCCCAACTTTGAAACATAATATTTAAATTTATCCACTTTATCCATATCTTTAGCTAATATTTAGCTAATATTTATCTAATCTAATTCTAAACTTTCTTCTAAGCTATAAACTAAGCTTATCTTATCGTTAAATTAGTCAAATTCATTTTTTAAATGATCCAGTTACGATATGAAAACAGGCATTAAGCCAGGAGTCTCCAAAAATAAAATACAAGTTTCAAAGTTACGTGTAAATGGCTTGAAGGAAAAATTTCAATTGTTTTTTGAGGCAGGTCTAGTTCTAGAAACGTCTCCTGTAGTTCTAGTAACGATAAAATTGATTTAATAATCTGATTTAAAAATTGGTTTATTTCGAGATACACACAATTTTAGTGGTGTTTAAGTTAACATAGAATCAATCTCTACAGTATCTTGGAAAGAAAATTATTCAACTAATAAAATATTCTTTGAAATCCTTCAATTAAAGCGAAAGATATAATTTCGATGTCTAAAAATGATTTAATTCCAGGATACTGTAGTGAGAGAACAGAGATTGATTCTATGTTGACTTTAACACCACTAAAATTGTGTGTGTCTCAAAATAAAGAAAGAAATTTGAGCTTTTGTCTGATGGATTTTCTTTATTTGTGGATTTATTAATTCCAGTATGCATTAATTCCAGGATAAGAGATTTAGAAGTTACAGTAATCAATGAATCTTCAAATTTATCAAGTTGAAAGTTCAATGTTTCAATAAAATGGCTTTGCGTTGAAAAACCGAACAAATAATGCTCATGTGGTTTAAAAATTAGAAAACGGATTACGGTAACTCTTTAAACCGACCGCTGATCCATACAAATCGCCATTGTTGATCGCGGGAAAAGATGAGGGAATCCTGGGAATGGTGAGCGTCGGTGGGCTTCTTGGGAGACTGTGGTTGGGCAGTGCGACTCCTCCCGGTGGCTGATTGGTTGTGGGTGCTGCTTGGCGATCAGAGACGCCCGCCATTTGTTGAGAGGTGATTGGTGGGGTTGGGTCACTGGAAATTTGATGTCTGATGGATTTTTTCTTAGAATAGCATGCATCAAACCTTGTCAAACTTTGAAAAGAAGAAAGTTTCAATTTTGAGTTTCAAAATTTGAGCTCAAATTTCGAAATCCAAGAACTCACGTGATTCTGTTGGTCTTTTTGTCCTTTGCGCGTCGATTTTGGAACCACGTTTTCACCTGAAAATCGAAAAATTCATCAATTTCAATGGAGCAATGCAAATTTTTATTACAAATTGTATTTCTGACTTTTCTTTCTTTCGTTCAAATGGCAAAACCTAGATCGACTAAAAGCTGAGCTCTTTAAAAAGACTTAAATAACTTTGAAACATTAATTCTTTAATCTAAACTAGGTAAATATTTGCTTTTTCTCGAATTCTGTCTTCAAATTTTTAATAAAAATTGCGTCAGAGCCTAACAATTCCCAGAGTTTCAAGATTTTTAATAGGAACTTTTGTGGCTGGCTAATTTGGCTAAAGATGGCTAATTTTTCTGAAAATCTAGTCTATTGCTATTGCTAGATGGTTTTGCATTAGAGGGTTATTTAAAATAAATAAATGTTTCAAATTTCTTCAAGTCTTTGAAGCTATTGAAGTCTTTGAAGCTTTGAAGCTTCAAAGACTTCAATAGCTTCAATTGGAGCCAGTTTTTTGAATTGAAAGGTGCTTTTAAGAGTAAAAATTGGCCCACCTGACTCTCGGTGAGTCGCAAAGCGTCCGCGACGGCGAGCCGCCTCGATCGGGGCATGTACTGGTCTTGCTCGTATTCCTGGAATGTAAAAATCATAAAATTCATTTCCCGCTTGATAGATTGATTTAAAAACCTATGAGTGAGGTGAAGAGTTTCGAGAATTTCCCCAGATCTGATGCTGTTTAATATAAAAAGCGAAACACAATTTAACGACGTCAACTCGTACCCAATTAAGCCTTGAACTGCAAGAGTTTTCGACAGAATAGCCAGACTAACAAGCGTTTGCAGGGAAATGATCACTCGTTAGAATACCCGGAAATCGTTTTTTCCCTCGAAATTTCAAAAAAATACGGCTAATCATCTAATTTAGTGCTTTTGATGCGTGTCAAACGGAAAAAGTGACGTCATTTCGAGGAGCTTGAAGGCAAAGACAAATTAGCTCTCCGAGAAATGATGTAGACTGAAACCGCAACTCTATGATTGCGCAAAAATTTGTTTAGATTGACTTAAAGTCAACGTTGAAACGATTGCCATTGACCTTCCATTGACCATTGGACAATTATTGCCGGGAGAACAGAGATTGATTCTACGTTGACTTTGACACCCCGAAAATTGTGTGTGTCTCAAAATAAAGAAAGAAAGTTGAGCTTTTGTCTGATGGATTTTCTTTATCTGTGGATTTATTAATTCCAGTATGCATTAATTCCAGGATAAGAGATTTAGAAGTTACAGTAATCAATAAATCTTCAAATTTATCAAGTTGAAAGTTCAATGTTTCAATAAAAGGGGCTTTGCGTTGAAAAACCGAACAAATAATGCTCCTTGCCGCTTTGAAATTCATTTTGTTGGTACGAAAGAAAAGTTTGGGATGAATGCTTCGAAACTGGCGGTTCAAATTGAAAAATTTAGAATTTGATGACTAGAATCTTCGTTTTGCGAGAAAGCTTTTCAAATTTAAGCTTTCATTTCCAACAAGGCATCTCCAGGTTCTCAAAACTTAAAATTAAAGACTTTGACGCGTTTTTCCATCATTTTAACTTTAAAGCTGATTCTCAAAGTTTTAAAATCATTGTTGGATCAAATTTGAAAGATCAATTTTTTTTTGATTCCAAAGGGCAATTAAAGATTAACGCCTCAGATCTGGTCGTTCAAGTTGAAACATTTACCTTAGAGCTTTGTGGTTTTTCGAAAAAACGCGAGAGAATTGCAGTTGAAAGATTTTTTTGAAATGTAATTTAAATTTAAAGAAGAAAAGAAATTTAAAGTTGTGCCGTCGTCATCAACGAATTACGCACAATGCTTCGCTTTCCACTTTGAATTCTTTGAAACTTTAAGTTTTCGGAGAGCTTCATTTAATCTAGATTATAGATTTCCTCGTTTTTTACTTTAAAAAATCCAACCACCGGTTTCCAATTCTTTAAGGGAAACATTGAAACTCGTAATTCTTTTCTCTTAGCGTCGATTCTTTTTATCTCTTCTTGAAAACTCAAATAAGTACAATTCAAACTCAGAGCTAGTCCGTGCTTCAAAAAACTCCCAAAAATTTGATGTTTCAAAATTTTAGATATTTTTCCTTCAATTTGGCTTTCAACCTCAAGACTTCAGAAATTGCTCAAATGGTTTTGTAAAGCTTATTTTGACCCAAGAAAGTCCCTGTCTCCAAAAAAAAAATGCTCGAAATTTGTTTCCTTTAAAAAATGGCCTCCTCTTCGAGCTGTCAATTCACTTTATGAGAGTCTGGTGGGGTAATTTTGGCCTAAAATTTCTCAATTTCAATTTCGAATTCGGCCAATATTTCGTGAATTTCGAGAATTTCGAGAATTTCCCAATTTTCAAATTGTCAATTAGTTTTCCGAGGGAAATCTGTCATTCACAGGACTAAATTAAAAGCCGCAAATTGGAAAAAAAGGCAAAAAAAGAAAAGTAATAAACTCTCCGGCAATATTAATTTCATGATTGGTTTTCGGGCGTACTTTTTTCAAATTAGTTTCGTGTTAACTCAAAATATACATGAAATTTTGAAACAAACACTTTTTTTCGTGGAGATTTAAAGTTTTTCTTCGTTTAACTACTGAATTTTGGGTAATACAAGTACAAGCATTTGAGAAAACTCAAAACAAAACTTTAACAAACCCTTTCCAGCTGAGCCTGTTGAACATTCGTGAACGTGGTGCGCTTGCGTTTGTTCTTTCCGTTCTCGTCGTTCATCGACGGGGTCACTGAGGGCGGAGCCGTGGGGGGAACGGAGCCGCCTGAAGGAGAAATTCTTTGATAATTTTGCAATGTTTGCAGAGTTTTAAAGCCCAGAAAAGCTAGAACACTTAGCTTAGTTAAGCCATTGAAAAATTAGCTCAAGAAGCTTCGAAAACTGGTAGCTTAGGTCGTTGAAACTCGTTGAAACTATTGTATTGATAAATGAGGCATAATACTTGTGCTACAAACGCAAGGGACAAGTAAGTAAAAGTGCTGTGACTTAGTAAATAAAAGAATATAATATAGCTTACCTGATGAAGATTGAGGAGTCGAGGTAGAAGCACCAAGGACAGCTTGCGGGCAACCGGGGGTCAGAATCTAAAAGTCGTAAGTGGATAGATTGGATAAAAGATAGAGACAAGATTGAAATGGAAATGGATTTCGGAAAAGGATTAGAAAATGAAAGAACCGTTTGATTGGTGGCATTGTGCGCGGCGATCAATTGTTCGATCGATGATGGGATGGCGAGGGGAGGAGGTGGGGGAAGGGTGACGCCCAGCTGGAAGGAAAAAAGATTTTAAAAGTACAAAGTAATCTAGTTAGATTAATTCTTAATCAATCTTTGTACCGTCCCGTAACTCAACTCACTTGTTGCAAAATCGCGGCCGCACTTTGCACCGTTTCCTGCAAGTCGCCGAGCTGTGACAGAGTTGCCGGGTCGAGTTGGTTCTGAAAACCTAATTTAATTTAAATTTAATTTGTTTTACAATAGATTTTCTACAATTTTCTATAATTTTTTATAATTTTCTATAATTTTCAACTTCTACTTAAGAAATAATTTTTTAAGTTTCAAAATTTTTAAAGGTCAAACGAAAATATTGTTTAGTAATAGGGGATAAATGGACGTTTTGAAAATCGTAATCCCATATACTTTGTGCTCAAATCCCCTACATATTCCCTTTCTAGCGCACTCAATTCTTTCATTTTCGCCTCATAGCAACAGTATCACGAGAGAGTCCAAGGATTCAGTGCGCTAGAAAGGCGGTGTTTGCAAAAGATTTGAGAGAGCACAAAATGCACAAAGGCCAAGTCAATGCTTGGTTTCTATAAAAGTTCTAGAGAATTTTTTTGATTTTAAGATTAATGTTTCAACTTTATGCGTAAATGATTGAAGAAACGATCAGGAATCGTTTACATTTAAGTAATGTAAACGTTTCAGTAAGCAAATGTAAACGATTCCTGGTCGTTTCTTCAACCATGTGCCGATAATCAACAAATTTTCAAACCGCAATTCTTGCTTACCTTCAAATTCGCCAGTAAGCTCAACTGGGTGAGTAGATCCATCGGGTTTTCCGGGGATTCGCTCAACGCCGATTGGCATGCCTAGAAGAAAAATGGATTTGTTGGATTGGGATTGTTGGATTGAGATAAAGAAACCAGTATCACAATATTTATGAAATTAGAAAAGAAAGAACTAATATTGACAAAATTGTGAAAAAATTGAAACATTGAACATTTTCGTGTCATTTTGGAGCTTATGAGTTAACAAAATCTAGTTTTTTTTTTAATTTTAAGAGAATTTTTAAATAACTTTCAAAAAAGAGAGCTTAATAGCATTGGTAATTCTTCTTAATTAAATATTTTGAAACTTTAACTTTCTCATCTTTCTGGCAAGTTTATCGTTTCTAGAACTACAGTAGACGTTTCTAGAACTAGACCTGCCTCAAAAAACAATTGAAATTTTTCCTTCAAGCCATTTACACGTAACTTTGAAACTTGTATTTTATTTTTGGAGACTCCTGGCTTAATGCCTGTTTTCATATCGTAACTGGATCATTTAAAAAATGAATTTAACTAATTTAATGATAAGATAAGCTTAGTTTATAGCTTAGAAGAAAGTTTAGAATTTGATTAGATAAAGATTAGATAAATATTAGCTAAATATTAGCTAAAGATATGGATAACGTGGATAAAAATAAAAGATTAAGCTTTTATGCTAATTTATTAGTCTGTTTTGATCTTCCTAGTCGGTTATTTTAAACATTTACCCTTTGGGTTTCTCATTTTTGTGGCATTAACAAGTTTTTGAAAGTTTCATTCAAGTTATTCACTCGTTTCACCCATGGACTTTATTCTAACTCATCAACAAAGCATTTCTAAATTGATTTTCTCGACGGGCATCTGTAATCCCAAAATTTGAAACTTGCATTTCATTTTTTACGTTCGTCGCTTCGTTCATCTCTCACAACTACTATCATATTCATTTCAAAATAACCATAGCCAATTTAGTTTAGGCTATAGTTTTAAAATGAAGAAATTAACACAACCTCATTTTCTCTTTGATTTGAACATTTCTCTTTGAACAGACACAAAAATGCTGATGAAATCAACAATCAAACGTTGAAACTTGCAAAATTCTCTTGAAATTTTTCTTTTTTTCACATTTCAAGAACATTTGACTTTATCAATCTTCTTTTAAACTAACTTTTGATTCAGCAGTCGTTTCGATGACTTGCGCGTCGCGGTAGTACGGTTTGAAGGCGCTGTTGCCCAAGGTTATCATCGCTTTTTGGGTATCTGCAATGGGGAAAAGTGATAATCAAAAGATTTTACAAGATTTGCAAAAAAAATTTCGAGTTTAAAAACGTTTTAAAACGAGTTATTTGATAAGCTTAATGATCGAGTTTGAAAGAAAAAAAAAGAGAGTTTCAAAGTGAAGTTAGTGAATAAAAGAAATTAAAATTAATAATTTCGAAATACGTTCTAGAACTATTTTACTATTTTACTCGCGTAAAACGATTTGCTAAATTTTTTATTTGCTTAAATTTGCTAAATTTGCTAAATTTGAAATTTTTATCCTTAAAGTGATACAAATTTAAACAATAAACATAGTTTTTTTTTAGATTTAACATAGTTGAGACTGGTTTGGAAAGCAAGTTTCAAATTAAACCCAGTCAATCAGAAATCCTGATTGTTAATGATTTGGTTTAGATATAATATGATTTTTCAAAGTGATCTAACTGAAAAATTATCGACTTTAAACTGAAAATAGTTACAGTTATGATAGCTTTTTGTCATAACGAAATACGCAATGTAATCCGGAAGTAGTATTGAAAATATACTGAAAATAGCTGATTCTGAGATGAAAAGAGGTTGCTTAGCGTAAATATGTGAAGAAAATGTGCGCAAAAAAGTACGAGTTTCAATTTAAACGTATTCCATGGTTAAACCGGCAAGACAATTCTGTGACAGCTTAAACGAGCTCGCTTTGCCCAAAAGAACCAAGCTTAGTCAGCAAAAACAAACGCAGAAAGAGTGGAAAGCCATTGAGGAAACACCTAGCTTGATTAAACAATTAAATTTGAAACTCAAAAATTTTTTTTGAAATAATAGTAAGGATTTCTAGTAGTTATGGATTTCGAATAGAAAGTCTATAAGTTTTAAATGTCCAGCTTTAAAACTAGTAGAGAAAGTGACAATCAGCTAAACAAATAGTGCAAAGTAAAAGAAACTATTCAAGCAATTTAAGTAAACAAGTAAAAAATAAATTTGAAAGTTTTAGGTTCACTTGAAAATAGAATGTTTCAATTTTGAGGGTTTTTACGAAGATTTTGGTCTTTAATAAACCCAAATTCAAATCTAATACAGATTTTTGCTTTATTTTTAGGAATAGACATTGGAGGAGACTTGTGCATGACTGTAGGAGAAGACTTCAGACATAGGAGAAGGGAAAAGACATAGGAGAAGACTTGAGAAGACATAGACTAGGAGAAGACTTGAGAAGACCTGAGAAAAAGAATCTAGCTGAATCCCAAGCTAACCAAAATCGAACCTTTGACCTCTCGACTAGCACGCAGAACTCTTAGCCAGTCAGCTATCGTCGATTGAAACTAATAAAAGACTAAACTAAAGCTAAAGCCTAAGCTAAAGCCTAAGCTAAAGCCTAAGCTAAAGCCTAAGCTAAAGCCTAAGCTAAAGCCTAAGCTAAAGCCTAAGCTAAAGCCTAAGCTAAAGCCTAAGCTAAAGCCTAAGCTAAAGCCCAAGCTAAAGCCTAAGCTAAAGCCTAAGCTAAAGCCTAAGCTAAAGCTTTTAAAGCAACGTTTAAAAAAAGTTACAATAGCTTTTTAAACTAGACAGATAACAAGATATTCAAGTAATACCTGGAAAAAATCAAAAATTAGCTCAATCAATTTTTTTTCGGGATGAGCATCTGCCATTTCCCCTCATATTATCACCCTTGATTGAGGCAATTTTCGCTGTGAATGCAAATTGCCATTGGCTGAATATCTTTTAGAGAAATTATTGCCAAAAGAAAAAGTTATTCAGTCAAGAGAGATAATTGGCTTCATTTTGAAATATTTAGTTAACTTGATAAGAAATTTTGCAAATTATTACCTTTTAAAAGGCTTTCCAAATTCGCATAAAGATGAAACATTCAAATTTTGATAATGATCATTAAAACAAAACATCTTCAAGGAAACTAGAGCTTTTTGAAACTTGCTTTCAAAAATCCTTTTAAAAAATCCCGAACAATTCTTTCATTGGTTTATAGATATTTTAAGTGATCAATGATCAACGCGACCATTACCCTACCCCGGTTTTTTGATTCATCAACATTTTGAAACTTTGAAACTCTTAATTCTCTTCTCCTAAAGCCGATTCTTTTTATCTAATTTATTCTTGACAAGATTCTCAAATACTTCAATTGGAAAACAGCAATAAGAAGAACACATATCATTCTATTCTATCAACAATCTACAAACAAATCTTAGAATGAAAAGCCTCAGACGGAAGTATGTGGATATCTAGATCATTTGAAACGCGCAATTTCGAATTTCAAATTACTCTTGAAATCTTTCAAACAAAATGAACTTTTCCAGCACTTGACCATTGGAAAAGAAATGGAAAAGAAATGGAAATGGATGTGAAAAAGAAATTGGAAAAAGGGAAGAGGGAAAAAAAGAGACGCTGAAATTGGCCTCCATTCATTAAAACCCCTTCTCACACACATCAAAATAGAGGCGAAAAAGGGGTGGAAATGAAAAGAAATGCAAAAAGTGAACAGAAAATGAAGAGCTGAAATAATTGGAAGCAGATAGATTTTTGAGGAGAAAAGCTTTGGAGATTTGTTGAAAATGAAAAGCTCTATTTGCAAAGGCATGTTTCAAAATGTTCAAATGGTCACTGATTTTGAAAAACTCAATACTGAAACAAGGCTGTCAATCAAAATTAAAGGGCGATTCTTGAAACTAGACTTTTTTTGGGTGAATGAGAATCCAAATCTGGTACCAGCTTTGACTTTTCGTGAAAAACTGATGCCGGATTCGGATTCTTCATCCCCGAAAACCCTTGGCTGCAAATTTTTAGCCCAATCGGCCACAAACAAATACTGAAATTACCGTACAATCTACCGTGAGCAGTTTTGTTTGTTAAGCAAGTGCATGTTTCAAAGTTTTTAACTTAAAAACGCTTTACTAAAGGTCAATACCGTCAATAAGCAATTGCTAGAGCTATTATGATTAGATTACAAAAAGTTGGCTTACAATCAGACGCAAGTTTGATACTTCGGTACGCTTTCGCGATTTCAAATTCAATGTTTCAAAGTTATGGATTAAGATCTTCATTCGTGCGAGACAATATTATCTGGTTGGTCTGAAAACGATTTTCCATATTTGGTCAAACTAGGCCAAGCAAGCTAGGCCAGAAATCTTAGACAAAAATAATGTGTTTCGTTGCTTCGAGGGTTATCAGCGCTCGCATCAATTCAATCTATTGCCCTTTTGCTCATTGTCTGCATGTTATCCTTATTGAAAATCGATGTTTCAAAATAGTTTGCAAGCAGAATTTGTCCAGAGTATTTGTTTTATTCCAAAATCCGTTACTTTCATCAAGTTTAGCTTTGAAAACTCAAATTTTCGGATTGTTTTTCAAAGCAACAGATAAATGAGTTGAAAAACTCGACGTAAAAACGAGAGATGGTTGATTTTAGGCTGAATTTTCCTAGAGTTTTTCACGAGTTCTTTTTCTCAAAAATGTTTTGTTTCATTGTTTATAGGGTTGATAATCGTTCTATTACTTTAATGGTGACATATCTTGGTTTCATTCAAATTTCATTCAAAACTCTTTTTTCAAAATACTCAACTTTTTTTTTAATCGATTTTTATCAATGAAACAATCATTCTTTATCAATATCAATAACCAATAAATCAATTTTTATCAATTATCAATTGCGTATAAGTAAAATCAGATAAACCTTACTAATTTTAAACAAAAAAAAGCACTTACCTACAATAAAACGATTATATAACTTGTTAATTAAAAGTTATTTCATTTAAAAAATGAAATAACTTAAAAATGAGTAAGCGACTTATCGAAGGAAACTTATCGAAAACTAAAAAAAGCAAAAAAAAAGCAAGAGCATAGTTTTTAAGGTTCGATGGATTTGAATTTGACAAAGTTTTGATAAACTGATCGACAATTGGATAAGTTTCAAAGATTCGACTTCAATCATGGATCGCACTCTTTCATTATTTACTAAAAAAAACACTGAGAAAAGCAAAGCAATGAAAAAACGAAAAAAAACGAGATGGACTTGATTAGAGACTGAAATTTCCCAGAGCGTTTCCCAGAGCTTTCCCCCACTTTCGCACTTCATTAAATTTTTTTGCTGATTCAGCTTTGGCAAAACGAATTTTCGTACTCTTTCGCTTTTTCAGTTCGAAAATAATTGCACCCGGGATTTTTCAATTTGCGAGTTTCAATGTGAGAAAAAGAGTAGACGAAAAGGTGGACAAGTCGGGAAAAAATTTGATCAAAGCTTTGATCAAAACTTTGATCCGATTACCGTGATACTTGAGTATTATTGAAGGGTTTGAGCAATCAAAATTTACAAAAATTGGTTGATCTTTGATTTTTAAGAGAAATCCTCTTTACTCATCATTTGTCGTGCGTTCCAGATTGACTATTTCTGACATTAGAATTGGCTTTACAAAGAATACCACTTATTTCTGGTCCAATACAACTCCAGCTCCAACAGGGGAAGAGGGGAAAGGAAATGTTTAGTTTTCACAATTTTAAACACAATAAAATAGGATTCAAAATTTGCATCAAATGAAAAAAAATGCATTTTGAACAATGAAAAGACGAGCATTGCGTTTTGAGAAGCTTTTTTGAGGCTAAGTTCTTTGAAACTCTTTGTTTTATAAAGAGAGGAAGTTCTTTCTGGTTTAAAAACTGTTTAAAAGTTGTTTAAAAACTTCTTTCTCTGTTTTCGTTGTTAGAGCATGGATTATTTTGAAAGGTTGATAGATGATTAACTTTTAAATAAGTTAGTTTTTAGTTTTTTTAGTTTTTTCATTTTAAATCTGTTTTCTTCTTGTTCTTGTTTAAAATCTTGTTACATCAAAGAAACAATTACATTTTAGACTTAGCGAAAGAGCCGGTCAAAAATTGAAACATTCATTTCCCCATGTGTAAAAAAGAATAAAGAACTCAAAAATTGCTTGCTTGCTTGCTAATCTTAATCTAAAAAACGAAACAAAAGAAGTGAATCTAGCCGCCGAG